CCCCCTGGGTAGAGTGCTGCAGTGTCACAGCAACCTCCAACTCCTGGGCTCAAGCGATTCTCCTGCCTCCACTTCCCAAGTAGCTGGGACTACAGGTGCCTGGCTATTTTTTGTTTGTAGCCATCATTGTTGTTTGGTGGGCCCAGGCAAGATTAGAACCTGCCAGCTCAGGTGTACGTGGCTGGCGTCTTAGCCGCTGAGCCATAGGCGCCGAGCCAAATGACCATTTTATGGGCTGAAATATTCAGACTTAACCACACATCAGCACTCACAGACATAACAATATGTACTAATGAGAAATAAAGAATCATTAAATTGTACTCTCGATGCTTATGACCTTGAACATGAGTTTAAGTTCTCTGAGGTTTTATTTCTCAGTATATATAATAGGAAGTAAAATATTATATCCCATAGAGATTGTTATTGGAAAAAGGTTGAGAAGAGACAAATAAAAATATATTGTGATATCATCTTCAGTTTTCATTGAACCTCTGAAATGCTGAATTCTGAACATGGTTTGTCTGGTGCTAACATTAATGACATTAATTTCTTTGAATCAACAGAAGGCTATCTTAAATAAACAAGCTATTGGCCAGTTTCTACCAATCTAGGGGCTAAGTCTCATCGGACCTCTCGAGGACTTGCTTTTGTAGTGAAACTATACTTCAATAGTAACGCATGATTCATTAAGAATACAGGCATCGCTTTATGTTATATTTATTTATTTTCCAGCTTGTACAAACTGGATGTAGAAGCATAAACATAGTACATTTCTACCATCTTCAACAAAAATATAACCAATATGTACAATTATTGTATTAAAAATACAAAAGGGATACAGACTCCACCAATGTCTTTCTAAAAGACATACAGGTACAAGTAGTATCAAAAGTATGAGGAAATCACCAGTTAATTGTACATTCTGCACTTGACATCACAGAGTGAACTGAGATTAGCAGTCCTATGTTCTACAATTACTTAATGCTTAGGTAACATTTGTGCAACTTGTGGTAGAGCTAGATTCTGTCTTTCTATATGCACATGAGGTCCACAGCCTATATAATAAAACTGGCAAATAATGCATATTACATGTAAAATTACAAATGCATAATTGACAATGTAATATATAAGCGAGTAGACAAATGCCATGATACAGAAGAGAATTATTAAATAAAGCACTGACATTGTTTGATACAGTGAAAAAACACTGCAATTCCACTTTTAAAATTTGAAGCTATTTACGTTTACTACTGATCAATATGATCAGCTGAATTTAATGAAAAAAAAAAAAAAGTCCAAGACCAGCAGTTCCTCACATTTGAGTACTACTCGGATTGGCAGCCTTCACTTTTCCGGAGTCTGTGCAAAAACAACACAAAAATAGAGTGGAGGGGTCATTTTCAGTCATTACAAGGTTAATAGCAGCTGTGAGCAGATGGTTGCTACACTTAGGCCTTCTCTAAACTCAGCGTCCATAAAGCCACTTGGAGGTTAGTCTTTGGTGACTAACCCGCCTTGCAAAGGCTGGTGTGTCTAACCAGCTTTTGATCTTTTGTCATGTTTAAAGGCTTGTTTATTCCCTAATGCCAATTCAGTAAGGGAGGCTGTCTTGAAAGAGCAGTAAAAACAGCTGGCATTAGCTCTCATATCCCAAGCTGCTTTCACTGCCATGTTGTCCAGTTATAAATGTTTCTTTAAAAAAAAAAAAGAAGAAAGAAAAGAAAAAGAAAACCAAAAACAAAACCTAAAACTCTAAATTGATAAAAATCAAAGAACCATAACTTAAAAATGGGGTTTGCCATCCATCTCGATGGAGCAGGACACGCCCTTCAAATGACACTGTCCTGCCTCCATAAGGCTCAGACAGGACACAAGAGTCCTATTTCCCTCCCCTGGCCATGTGCAAACAGATTTACAGAGGAACCTCACCCACTGGGGAAGGAGCAGATGAGGTGACTTGGTATTTAAGTAATTGGCTAACATTTTACAGTTCCAGGATAGGGCACTTCACGGGTGAGGCCACGTGGGGAGACAGGGTCACAAGCCATGCCTTCCCCTCTTCTTGGTACAGCCACACCCTGTCCGGCATATTTGGTTTTTTAGAAACCAGGCTGGCAACCCTAATTAAGGTTCAAAATAATACTGTAATCATTGAATGGATAAAACATTTACTCTCAGAACACAATCTTTAAATTCATTTCTTTTTAAAAAGGAGGACATTGTAAACAAGTGGACAAGCACTGTACTCAAAGGATTTCATTGTTTTCTTTGTCTTCCTCGGTGGGTTAAAGGCCCCAAGTAGTTCAATGGCTAGCTTTTCTCATTATCCCAATGAGACCAAGTGCTAGGACTGGTTTGAAATCTAAAAGGAAGATTTTTAAAAATCCTTCCAGGCATTGAGAAGTGCAGCCAGAGTGAATCATCTCGTCGTGATGATCTTGGAATCTGGAATGATACTGTGTGATGTGGCAGGCAGCAACAGCGGGAGCTGGGAGGTTGCTGCGCTGTGCATTTCAAGCAACAAAGTCTGAAAAGTGCCAGGGCAATTTCTTCACAGTATTTCACATGCAAAGGGGAAGGGAAGAAGGGGAGAAGAAGCCCCATGCTGCTTTTAAGGCAGGGAAGGAGGCAAACTGGTCCACCATCCTCAGAATGTGAGTTCCAAGGCTCCAATGCTTGGGACGTCTTCTTGTGCTCTCCTTACTCGTGGCTTGCCTGTGCCTCAAACAGCAGACACTTGTTCATCTTCTGCAAATACAGCAAGAGGAACGAAAAAAAAAAATCAATAAGCAAGCAAGTAACTTCTTGTGCTACAGAGAATGCATTCATTGATGTGCTAAGTAAAAATATTACAGCTGTTTTTAAGTATAATTCCTTTAAAATCTTTGTCTTTTTTTCTAGGCAATGATACCACTATCAAAATGTTAAAAGTATATATAATGCATATATTTAAATATTTATAATATTAAAACATATACATTATGTATTTTTTTGTCAGAAAATTATTAATGGTGAATTCATTGCTAAAAGTTATAAAATAGCATGTGTCTTTCCTGGGCATCACAGGATGTTTTTTACAGCACCCCCTACCCCAGAAGTGACAACCCCAGACATCTCCAGATGTTGTCAAGGGTCCCCTAAGGACAAAATCACCCCTGGTTGGTAACTATGGACTCAGAATTATGAAAATCAGGTTCTTGTACAAATTTTAAAATATACAGCTCATCATAGTAAGTTTGTGACTTTTAACTCTGACGGTTCATGTTAGTTAAGTCAAGGCGAGGTTGAATTCTTTTGGGTATGTTTAGTTACTGTGGACACAGTGAGACTCTGTCTCAATAAAAAAGAAAAAATAAAGAAGAAGAAGAAGAACAGGGGGACATGCTCTCCCTGGCTCATGCTCAATGCAGAAGGGCCACGTTGATTTGTAGACACAAGACAAAAAGGCCATAGAGAAAGTATATTTCTTTATCAGACTTAAATTTCCAAATGTGTTGCAACTTATTGAATACAAATATGATTCCACAAACAACTTTAACCATCCATGTCTGACAGCTCAAGATGTTTCAAAAAATTCTTGCAAAGAGCACATATTTGTAAGATTTTATTCTTTTCCTTAAAATAGGGCCACAGAAGTACTTAAATTTTTGTGAGAATTAGAAAAAAATATCTAGTGAGGTACACACTTTTTTTTTTTTTTAAAAGACAGAGCCTTAAGCTGTCCCCCTGGGTAGAGTGCAGTGGCATCACAGCTCACAGCAACCTCCAACTCCTGGGCTCAAGTGAGTCTCCTGCCTCAGCCTCCCAAGTAGCTGGGACCACAGGCACCCGCCATAATGCCTGGCTATTTTTTCGTTGCAGCCGGCATTGTTGTTTGGTGGGCCCGGGCTGGATTCAAACCCGCCACCTTAGGTGTATATGGCTGGCACCTTAGCCACTTGAGCCACAGGCACCCAGCCCTAGCACACACTTTTTTAAAAGCAATTCCCTCTGTGAGCACTGGCATATCTTAAACCACTGAGGGAAACAAAAGCATAAACACACATGAGTGTGCACACACAGAAAAGTCAAAAACTGTAACCCTAATTGGTCCCTAACAATTTAGGAACTAAATTGTTCCTAATTTGGAACTCTGAATATAAAATGTTCCCGGTGTAGGGTATATAGATACAGCTGACGACAGCATTAAGAAAACAAGAACTGCCTTGGGAAGCGTACAGGCAGAAGTGAACACCTCTATCTCGAATGCTTAAGAACATGCATGTGTGTATGTACCGTCCTCCTCGGCGGAAAACCCCGGAGACTGGTAGGGGCCGAGGCGCGGGTCGGACTCGCTGGGCCGGTGCCACTGAGGTTTGTTCGCAGGCCTGCTGCTGGCCGGGTGCCCGGGTGGCTGCTGTGCGGGTGCAGGCCCAGCTGAGTCGGAGGGCCGGGCGATCATCCGAGACCTCTGGAGCGCCACGTTGTAGTCCGGAGGCTTCCTGGCTGGGTGGGCATGCCCTTCTGGGAAGTCCGTGATGGGGATCCCGACGTAGCCCGGCGGGGTCGGTGGGGGCTCGCGGTACCTGCCCTCCTTCCGTGCTACACCAAAGATAACACACCAGCCATTAAAAACGGGGTAGGCTATTTCACGCTACAAATGCTTATTAAAAATGTAAAAGTAATTATTAAAACGGCGAATGCAGTGAAGTAGCAAATGTGATTGTGTGTGATGCGGGATTGAGGTGTGGTGGTGGCAGGACAGGTATGTATGGATGTTAACTAAGCCGTTTCACTACTCAACAGTGACTAACTTTGATTGGTTAAGTAACTGGCGAGAGAAGCTCCTAAGCAATCCAAGTATTCCTAGTCTATTTGTTTATTTAATTTTTTTGAGACAGGGTGTCATGTGAGTGAGAGTGCAGCCCCACTCATGGCTGCCTGGAACAGGTCGGTACTTGGGGAGAGCGCCCTTTCCCTCTCCTGGCCCCTAAGGCGAACCAGGAGGGTCCATCTTTGCTGGCCATTTACTTTTATCAGGCAGAGAATCAATTCCATGGTTATTTTATGGTCTCTGGACTTTACTTTGGAAAATAGTAAATTAACATAAATTTAGAAATGTAGCATAAAAGATGCCAATTAAAAGTTCTAAAACTATAAGGTATTTATTTTTCTTAAAATCCTTTTACTGAGGCATTTGACCTAGAACATGAAATCTGCTAAGGCAAATAAAACCATAACCTTAAATTCTTCAACTTTCTAGATTCAGTTGTTAGGAACTAAAAATTATTCTTCCTTTCTTTGCAACAAAAATTCTAAGTGCTAGTTTGTTATAAGAAAGCACTGAAAGGGTTCATCCTAAGAACATGCACCATTTTCTTTTTATTGAAAAGGCAGGCTCGGCGCCAGTGGCTCAAGCGGCTGAAGCGCCAGCCACATACACCTAAGGTGGGGGGTTTGAGTCCCCAACCTGGGCCGCCAAACAATGATGGCTGCAGCCAAAAAATGGCCAGGCATTGTGGC